CATATGCCAGCATTGCTGTACTGCCTGAGAGTATCCCTCCAGGTCAGGCTTCTTTGTACCTCACTACCTTTGCCTGTGCAGTTCCTTCTTCCTAGGGCACTCTTCCCACTCCTGATGTGCCTACGGCACCACACCCATACATTATTCCTAGACTTAGGTCAGTGGGGACCACCCCCTCCATAAAGTCTTCTGACTCCCCACCCCTGAGTTGGTCTGACCATGCCCTCTGCACTGTCCCCGCTACTCCTGTACGTTATTACCCCACTGTAGCATTTAGTGGATAGTAGTGTACAGTGGTAGAATTCTCGCCTCCCATTGCAGGAGGCCCAGGTTTGATTTCTGGTCAGTACACTTCATGCACGGCCACCACCCGTCTGTCAGTGGAGGCTTGTGTGTTCCTGTGATGCTGAACAGGTTTCAGCACAACTTTCAGATTAATATGGACTAGGAAGAAAGGCCTGGTGATCTACTCCCAAAAATCAGCCAGTGAAAAACCTATGGATCACAACAGTCTGATTTGCAAACAATCATGGGGATGGTGCAGGACCAGACAGTATTTCATTCTGTTGTGCACGGTGTTGCTATATGTCGGGGGCTGACTCAATGGCAGCTAACAGCAACAGCAATAATGATGTTGAGCATCTTTTCATGTGCTTATTGGCCATTTGGGAAACCCTGGTGGTGTAGTGGTTAAGAACTACGGCTGCTAACCAAAAAGTCAGCAGTTCGAATCCACCAGGTGCTCCTTGGAAACCGTATGGGGCAGTTCTATTGTGGCCTGTAAGGTTGCTATGAGTCGGAATCAACTTCATGACAATGAGTTTGGTTTTTTCGTTATCGGCCGCCATTTGTATATCTTCTTGGGAGAAATATCACTTCAGATCCTTTGCTCATATTTTTATTGGGTTATTTGTCTTTACATTGTTCAGTATTAACAATTCTTTGTATATTCTAGATACTGTACCCTTTTCACATATATGATTTGCAAATATTTTCTCCCATTCAGTGGATTGTCTTTTTACTATCTTTATAGTGTCCTTTGATACACAAAAGTTTTTTATTTTGAAGAATTTCAATTTATCTACTCTTTCTTTTGTTGCCTATACCCCCTCCCCCCCAAAAAAACCCATTGCCTTCGAGTCAATTCCAACTCGTAGTAACCCTGTAGGACAGAGTAGAACTGCTCCATAGGGATTCCAAGGAGCAGCTGGTAGATTCAAACTGCTGACCTTTTAGTTAGCCACCGTAGCTCTTAACCACTGTGTGTTGCTTACAGGTGGTCTCAAATTAAGAGTCTAATAAATTAATGTAGTAACCTGGTGGAGAGATGATAGTGGCTTAGTCAGTGTTGGTAGTAGTGAAAACAATGACATTTGGACAAATTTGGGATTTATTTTTATAGTAATAATGATTATAATAGAAAATATCTTTGTACAGTGCTTGCTAAGTGTCAGGCACTATTCTATACTTATATTTCATTACTTATAATTCATTAATTCCTAACAATCCCATGAGATTGGTATTGTTATTATTCTCATTTTACAAATGTAGTAACTTAAGGCACAGAGTCATTAACAAATTCTTCCTTGGCCATAGAGAGTCAGGTATTATGTCTGTAGGTACATTTACTATGATATATACAGGCTATAGGTAGAGCCTGTAATAACATGTAAGATCTTTTAGCACTATTTGCATGTGTTTTCACATCTTTTATAATATTTAAGCTTATAGATTATTTTACATTTCAAACTGACTGGTTTCTGATCTTAATTGCTATAGATACTTTAGAGGACTGTTAGGCCATATGTATTAAAATATATATGTGTATGCCTTCTGAACTAGCAACTCCATTTCTAGGAATTTATGCTGAAAAGTGGACAAGAAAGAGTGCCAATATTCAAATATTTAACTTAGCCTTAAAAAAAAAGTAAAAATTATAAGTAACTAAATGTGTTACAGTAGGGGTTTGATTTATTATGGTTATTCTCAGAAAATAATTCAATGCAGCCACTTAAATTTAAAATTATACCATAGATTTGTATTTATTTACATATTGTTTAGGGAAAAGTGTAACTTACAGAACCGCATGTATAGCTCTCTAATGTAAAATTATATGTGTGTGTGGCCATGTTTCTGTGTATGGCTATATATGTATGTCTGTATTATATGATACAGGAGCTCTGGTGGCACAGTAGTTCGGCACTTGACTGCTAACCCAAAGGTTGGCAGTTCAAACCCACCATCCACTCCACAGGAGAAAGATGTGGCAATCTGCTCCCCTAAAGATTCCCATATTTTTATGCAAATAACACGCCTTCTATGTTTGTTTGCCAACTGCTCCCTTCCCACGCGAGGTATTTTCATAAGCACAGTATGCTAATTTGTTTTACAGCAATATGTAGAAAAATTGTCTTGGTGGTACTTATAAAAATACTTCACTGTCACAGTATAGGGAGAGAAACTAGGGTCACAAAACAATTATGTATAAATGTTTGTATGAGAGACTAACTTGAATTGTAAACTTTCACTTAAAGCATAACAATAAAAAAAAAATTAGTTTGCTTCCTGAATTTGAAAGCAGGAGTTTGGATAGTGAGAGGTACTTGCACTTGTTTAACTTTGTGTATCATAATTACATAACCTGTACATAGTAAATGTGATTTCCCATGATATTTAATACTGAGAATTAAATCAGAGGTAAAACTCCCATCTACCTGTCCTGTTTTCTGTTGAGAAAATGTTTACTAGCAGATGATACCTTTCCAAAATTGAGGCCGAAAACCATCCAGGTGATGTCATCACTTTATTACTAGTTTGACAGTCTGTGTAATCTGTTTCGTATTTAATAATGTTTGAAAAACCATCCAGTTAGTTTGATATACCAACCATTATATCATTTTGCATATGATGTGTAGGCAACTTGCCATCCTCTGTACTGTCATCTAAAGGATTAAACTTTCTCTAGTTCTCTTGATAGCTAATAGCTTCAGTAACCTTTCTCTGCTCATTTGTGTGTGCTGATAGGCCTGCAGGGTCAGAGAGAAGAATCACTTCTCTAACAGCAGTTTTGTAAGTAAGCAGTTAGGTGGAGTTCTGTCTTCCTGCCTTGATAGTAATTGTTAACCCACCTCATATCAGAAGTATTCCTAAAATAAAAGAAGGAAACTCGTTTTCGTTTACAGACTGGGCAGTGTTCTTGATTATAAGTGTTTTGGCAAAAGGTTTCTAAATAACGTGGTTCAGTCCCACTCTGAATGGAACACAAATTACTCTGTAAGCCTAAAGACATTTTCCTTTATGTACCGGATTCTGGTATGTAGAAATGCATTTGATAATATATTGAATTTTTCTTATATTGTATTTCTGTTCTCTTGCTTCTGTTTTCAGTTTTCTTTCTCCTACCCCTTCCCTTCCTCCTGCTTTTCTTTTTTTTAAAATTTATTAACTTTTTTTTTTATTGTGGTAAATACACATGTATCAAAACACTTGACATTCCAACAGTTATCACATGTACAGTTCATTGACATTAATTATGTTAATCACATTCTTCAACCATCACCATTAACCTGTTTTCACACGTGGAAAGTGAGAATTCTACCACTGCACCACTTCTGCAGTGTAGGCAAACTGTTGTTGTTAGTTGCTATCAAGTCAATTCCGAATAATCTAAAATATTGCCATTGAGTTGCTTCTAACTCATAGCAACCCTATAGGACAGAGTAGAGCTGCCCTATAGGCTTTCCACAGCTGAAATCTTTATGGAAGCTGACTGCTACATCTTTCTCCTGTGGAGCAACTGGTGGGTTCAAACTGCTGACCTTTTGATTAGCAGCCATGCACTTTAACCACTGCGCCACCAGGGTTCCTTTCCAACTAAACTACAAAGGTTAAAGTACTTGTGGAATGACATTTTATTCATAATACTAGAATTCCTGGAAGTTAAATTTCTCAGCTTTCAGGAGATTGTTTAATAATGACATTAACATCTCATTTGGACATGTCACGGTCAAAATAGGTAGACATGTAGTTGAATTTTAGGTTTATCCATATATTGATAATGAGATATTTGTCTAGCAGTAATCTTACAATGAAGTATCATAAATTTTTTACATGTTTTTTCTTCCTATTATTCTCTGAGCACAAGGATTATTTCTTTTTCACCTCTTTGTTCCTAGTGCTTAGCATAGTACCCAAAGATATTTGTTGAATGACCTGACTCGTATCATGGCTCATAGTTCTATAGGCCGATAGGTTGAAACTGCGTAGGTTCTGTTTTTTGAATTGGCACTCTCTGCAACAGGGGACATAATTCAAAACCTGCTCTAAATCTTTTCAAATTCTGATGAGGAGTTTTGATTAGCGTCTTAGTCTGGGTCCTCTAGAGGAGCAAAATCAGTGAAGCGTATAGATACACATCAAGAGAAATTTACTTCAAGGAAATGGCTCATGCAGTTGTGGGGGCTGGCAAGTCCTAAATCCGTGTGTCAGGCAACAGGCTGAAGACCTGTACTGGCTCATGTGGTTGCAGAGGCTGAGGATCCCAAAATGTATAGGTCATACGGCAGGCTGGAGACCTCTGCTGGCTCACAGGGTTGTGCGGATTTTGGCAGCAGGCTTACATCCCAAGAACTGGAGAAGAGTTCAGAAAGAGAGTGAGCTTTGCCAGAACATCCGTTTATGTACTGGCCATACCCTCAAGGAAACTCTCCTTTCAACTGATTGGCTGCTTACATCAGATCCAAAATGGAAGGTGATTACATAGTGTCTGTCAAACCACTGAGAGTAATAACCTAGGCAAGTTGACATATGACATATAACATTAACCATCATAATTAGCATTAATGTGAAACAATTATAGAATAAAATTTCTTTATAACCTGACCTTAGGTAAATTTGCCAGTGAGGCAACCATTTCTAATCCTGTTTGGTGATATGTGATATTCTTAGATGAATGCAAGTAGTGTCATCCATTGTTGTATCTCTCTTTATCTTATTTTTAGGTACAAGATATCTGCTTCAGTCATGACTGTCGCTGGGTTGTGGTCAGTACGCTCCGGGGGACTTCCCATGTTTTCCCCATCAACCCTTACGGTGGCCAGCCTTGTGTTCGTACACATATGTCACCACGAGTAGTGAATCGCATGAGCCGTTTCCAGAAAAGTGCTGGGCTGGAAGAGATTGAACAAGAACTGACGTCTAAGCAAGGGGGCCGCTGTAGTCCTGTTCCAGGCCTATCGAGCAGCCCGTCTGGCTCACCTTTGCATGGTAAACTTAATTTTCTCTCTCTCACTATCCCTTACAATCCTCTTTCCCTCTGATCTTAATTTATAGATTTGGGGTAAAAAGAAACATTTATTTTATTCTGTTCATGCATAGATAATATATTAGGCTCATTTTGGAACATTCTTAGTTTATTAAATCATTTAATAAATTGAGGCTAATATGGTAATGGTGACCTCCCTAACTTTTTCAGTATATAAGGGGTACCTTGTATCATATTTATGGAATATAAAGTTTGAGACTGTTTTCATAGCTGAACATCTTAGAAGAATTCTGTTTCTTCTAAAACATACTATTTTTAGCCAAGGTCAGTACTATAGTCTCTTAAGAAATATTAATTGTTAGAGAGGTCTAGTACTATAGCTCATTAAGAAATATTTATTGTTAGAGAAGAATACTCATAAGTCATGTATATTTTTAGATAGAGCAACATTATATTTCATTTTAAAGTATCTCCCTGTGGGTGGTTCAAACCGTTAAGTACTCAACTACTAGCCAAAAAGTTGGCTGTTCAAACCTACCCAAAAGTGCCTTGTAAGACAGGCGTGGTGATCTGCTTCCAAAAGGTCACAGCCTTGAATATCTTATGGAACAGCTCTAGTCTGCACACGTGGGGTCACCGTAAGTCAGAATTGACTTGATGACAAGTAACAGCGACAGTAGCAGGATTTCTGCTAATAAATTGCAAAAAATGTTCATAGCTCAGTAATTTTATCTCAGAGCAAATAGTTGTGCAACTATCAGCCCAATTGAGAAATAAAATGTTAACAGAATTCCTCCTTTGTGCACCTCTCCATTTATGTAAATCATGATTATGACTTTTATGTTAATCACTTCCTTACTTTTTAAAAATAGTTCTGATCCAAAGGAAGTATCCTTAAACACTGTTGTTTCACAAATGGAATCATAGACTATGTATTCTTTTACCTTTAGGTTCTTGTCTTTTAACATTATGTTTGAGATTCACTCATGTTGTATCACATAAAGCATGTAGTTGTAGTTAATTTATTTTCATTACTGTTACATATCCCATTGTACATTTGAGTGGTTTCCAGTTTGGGATTATTATGTATAATGGTTCAAAGAACAGTTTTGAACTTGTTACTTGGTGTACTCATTTGAGTGAAAATGCTAGGTCATAATGTATGTAAGTCTTAAATTTGTAGACACCACCAAAGTGGCTATACCATTTCATTCCCATCAGAGAGACTGAAAAAGTTGGTTGACATTAGATGACACTTTTTCTAGAGCATTGCAGATTCTTCTTGATTGATGACCATCTTATGTTCTTTTCAAGAATAGAGAATTTTATATATGGGGATTATGGCCACCACAGAAAAGAATCCGTATTTGTTTTAACTTCTGCTTGAAAACATATTCTTTTGCAATACCTATTGAATTCCAGATATATATTTTCTGTAGGAAGTTTTAAGGTAGGCTGAAAAAATATGTATAGGTAAATGGAATACCACGGAGAAATAGTGTAACTCAGAAAAATTGGATTTCCATTTTCTTCTGAAATCATGCTTTATTCTTTGGCCCTATTGTTCTTATAATATAAGAAAAAGTTATATGTATTTAACTTAACTAGTGACCCATGGTCTTCAAGTTTGAAAACTTTTTAGAATCAGTCCTAGATGAATTGTCACTTTAAAAATTACTTAGAATTAAAAAAAAAAGTTTAGAAAGATATAATTTTTTAATATTTTCAGCCATTTGCAAGAAATAACTATTGTTTTAAAAAAGAAATAACTATTTACATTTTTTTGGTGTAAATTTTTTTGTTGTGTATTTAGGTATTGTGTTAGGTATCTAGTGCTGCTATAAGAGAAATACCACAAGTGGACGGTTTTAAGAAAGAGAAGTTTATTCTCTCACAGTCAGCTAGGATAGAAGTCTGAATTCAGGGCGCCAGATCCAGGGTAAGTCTTTCTCTTTTTGTTGACTCTGGAGGAAGGTCCTCGTCATCAGTCTTTCCTTAGTCTGGGAGCTTCTCCGGACAGGAACCATGGGTCCAAAGGATGTGTTCTGCTCCCAGCACTGCTTTCTTGGTGGTATGAAGTTCCCCCATGTCTCTCTGCTCATTTCTCTCTTTTATATCTCAAAAGAGATTGGCTTAAGACACAGTCTTGTTGATCTCATCAACATAACTTCCACTAATCTGTATCATTAACATCATAGTGATAGGATTTACAACACATAGACAAATCACATCAGATGACATAATGGTGGACAATCATACAGTACTGGGGAATCATGGCCTAGCCAAATTGATAACATTTTTTGGGGCACAGTTCAGTCCATAATAAGTATATACTATAGGTTCTTTGAGGACTTTTCTCTTTATGTGTTAAATATTTCTCTTACCTTAAATTTTACCAAATACTTTATACATAAAGATTCAGTGTGCATGTGGGGCAGCTAGGTCAACAAGAGAAACCATAGAGGTATTAGTTGAACAGTTAAGAAGAATATATACTCTTTTCGTTTATACATCTTCATAGAATATTCTTTTGAGCTTCTTTTTTCTTCATGTTCTTTCTGTCCTATTAAGCAAACTACATACCAGGTGTTGTGCTATCCTTTGGGCACAAAATTAAGGTCATCCATGCCCTCATGAATCTTCTACTTCAGGGGCAAAGACAGACATTAAATGACTGTCTACAAATAACTTTTAGTATATCTTTTGTTGAAGGGTGCAAAGTGCCAATCAATGAAGAATTTTGTCATTTGTAAATAGGTGTCCCTGAGTAGCACAAATGGTTAAGCACTCGACTACTAGCTGAAAGTCTGGAGGTTTGAACCCACCCAGAAGCGCCTTGGAAGACAGGCCTGGCAGTCTTCTCCCAACTGGTCACAGCCTTGAAAACCTTATGGAGCATTTCTACCCTGCATGTATGGGGTCTTCATGAGTTGGAATTGACTCGTTGTCAGCTAACAATAAAAGGATAAATAGTTGAAGAGCAGTACTGGATTTCTGAGTTAAAATATACTGTTTTTTCTTAGCTTTGTTGCTTTCACAACTGTCTTCATACTTTTGTTAATAAACTTTATTTTTTGGAGCAGTTTTAGGTTTATAAAAAATTGTGCAGAAAGTACAGAAACTTTCACTATATCCCCCCCCCCCACCACACTTTGTTTCTCCTGTTAAACGTCTCGCATTCCTATGGTACATTAGTTACAATTGATGAATAATATTGACACATTGATCCAACAATTCCATTCTTCATATTTTTGTAGAAAGCTAACAGAAGAAGTCTCAAGTAGGAGATTTAAGACATTTTGACAGTATTGTAGTACTTAATTGTAAGATTTCCTTTAACATGTGTTAAATTTTTGTTATCTCAAGAATTTGATCCCATTACTCTGTAGTTTTTTTCATTTTTGAAGTACAGACATTGGAGTGATGGTCATTTTTCTTCATGTTTTTCTTGTACTTTCATGTCAAAACAAAATGGGAATTGTATTGGTTAGTTCTAAAAACGATGTATTTACAGTTTGTGTGGGTAAACAGTCTGATGCTGGTCAAAAACAATGTAAACCTTTGAACAGGGAGGGTTTCATCTTGAAAATGAATCATGCTTTGGCGGTATTACAGTTGTTTGTTTGTGCTCTTTTTAGAAAAGTAAAGGAAACTGTTAAATAACAGTTGATATAGGGGTATTTCCTTTTTATTCCTTGGAGCCAGTCCAGTTTAGGTTAGGATTATTTTATCTGTCTGCCATGTTTTTTACTTAGTGAAGGGTGTTTATTTATTTTAAATATATACTTTCTAAATATCTCTTTCATTTTCTGTCTTGTTGTCTGGACCTTCGTCTCGATGAGGAGATCTTAACTTAGGGTCTTTGAACATGGACAGGAAAAAAACTCTTTATATTCACTTTCCTCTAACTAAATTAAGCATTTCTTTGTATTATGAATGTAGACAACTTATCACAGTAATATTAGCAGTATGACTTTGTTGCCAGTAAAAACTGCAAATGACTTTTTATCATATTATGTATGAAATATGTATCTTGAAATGTCTTGAAATATTACTTATGTTCATCATTTCTTTGAAATTTTGTATATTATTATGTAAATTTTATCTTAATATTAAATTATTATAAATATTATAATAACATCTTAGTAACTATTTCCATATGATTTGTTTCCTTTTTATTTCTGTATACTTTATTTCATGCATTTACCAGTATTATTCTGAGAAATTCCACAGACTTCCCTTATCCTTCCCTCATACTGTCTGAGAAGTCCATGACACAACAATGATTAAGAACCGTTGTGCATCATTTCTCACCTTGTATGTTACAGTAGTCACCAACCTTTACTCCATGGCTTCTTGTCACTACTCCTCAAGCACTATATTTTTACTGTCATGAGAAGTTTTCTTGTTAAATAGAAATATGATCTGCACTTTTCTGCTTAAAACCTTTCAGTGTCTCACCCTACTGTTAAAATGTTATAGAAGGTCCTTCTGGCCCATCTTATTTTCAGCATCTTATTCTACCACAACCATATTTCAGTACCTTTCCCTGAATATGCCATTTCTTGGAACTTTTCCTATTTCCACAGTTTTCTGTACTTGAAATAATCTTTACCTCTTTGAATGCCTAGTAAAACCTTACTTGGTTATGATCTAGCATAAATATCCTTTCCTGTCTTAAACCTTTTCTTGATGTTGTGTCATCTGTGATAGCGTAGGTATTGGTACTCTGTACGTACTTTTATTATATTATCATGTGGTAATTATTCTTTGACATGCCTATGTTGCCCATTAGATTGACTTAAAGACTTTTCTTGTTTGTCTTTGTATCTCGGCGTGTCACATAATATTTGGTAAAATGGAGACTCTAAGACTTCTGAGCCAGACTTTTGAACCATCTTTAGAATTTGTTCTATAAAAAATGACTTAAATTTTTACTTGTCGGAATGAAGAATTTTCATTCATGATGTCTTTGCTTTTCACTTTAATATCTGTAAAATAC